CGAGAGAAAAGGTATTCCAGGAGATCCCCAACAAAGCTTCTGTCTTGGTACCGGTAGCAACAAGTATTGAGAGTTTGGCGAGTAAGGGGTTCAACTACTATCGAGTCGTGAACAATCATACAATGTATGTACCTGTCGCAGCGTCTGTCGAGGTTTGGTTCCGCGCGGGGATGAAAATGCAAATGGAAGGTGCCCCGCCAGCGGAATGATGTCAATCGAGTACTCCGTATCCGTGTACCGCCCGCTTAATCATCTCCTCCAGCCTCCCCCCAATACGGCCTAGTTTGAGTTAATGAGAGTGACATGACAAAGAAATGTCATTCTTCAGCCAAATGTGACTCGCCGTCGGCCATTGGAATCAGGGCAAAAAAAAGATTCCGCTTCATCACGCCGGACCTTTCCTGCGCTATGGACTCCTTGCCAGCCATATCAGTCGCAATCTCTTAGTCCCAGGTAAAGGTACATACATCATGTTGGTGACCGGCGCCATTTGGATATCATTGGGTGTCATTGGTAATCCGATACACGCTTGATTACCACACCATTTGCTCAGCGGTCGGGTCCCTCCAAAGCACGCCTTTGGCGCTCGAGCACCTCACCTTCAGTCAGGGGAGGCCCCCCCAACTGATGATCGGGACGCCCTGATCCATGGCATGGAGGGGCAGAGAAGCGGGGACCTAGGTCCATTGGACTTGTAGCTCTTTGGCGCACCTGCTTGCTTGCTTGCTACCGCAGTGCTGCTTGCTGTGGTTGCTAGGTGTTGCTGTCGATGTGGGGGAGGAGGGGTGTGAGGGAGGGAGAGGTTTCCAACGGGTTCTGAGACGCTTTGCGGGAGAAATCCAAAGGCGGGATAGGAAAGGGATCCGTACCTAGCGTCAGTACGGATACTCCGTAGCTATTGTGGTTCCCATCCCCCCCCTCCTCTTCCCTCGGTATATAACCCATCGAGACGCCCTCCCCCATCCCAAACATCTAAAAGAGAGAAGAACCATGATCAGTATCACCAGAACAGCAATCCAAGCATCAAAGAGACTCTCCACCCTCCGTCCTCTCACAACCACCATAACCAAACAACAACAACCCTTCCTCAGAACCTTTACATCAACAACACCCGTCAAAATGTCCGCCCCCAGCGCAAACCTCATCCTCGACGCCGTCAAGGCCCGCCGCACCTACTACCCCCTCAGCAAGACCCTCCCCATCGAGACGACCCGCGTCGACGAGATCGTAAAGACTGCCCTCGCCCACGTCCCCTCCTCCTTCAACTCCCAATCCAACCGCGTCGTCGTCCTCCACGGCGCAGAGCACGAGAAGTTCTGGGACATTGCCCTCTCCGTCCTCAAGGCCATCGTCCCCGCCGAGCAGTGGGAGTCCACCTCCGGCAAGCTCAACATGTTCAAGGCCGCCGCCGGATCCGTCCTCTTCTTCGAGGACCAGGACGTCGTCAACGGCATGCAGGAGAAGTTTGCCCTCTACGCCGACCGCTTCCCCGTCTGGGCCAATCAGTCCGACGGCATGCTCCAGTTCACCATCTGGACGGCCCTCGAGGCCGAGGGGCTCGGCGCCAACTTGCAGCACTACAACCCGCTCGTCGACCAGCAGGTCGCTGCCGAGTGGAAGGTGCCCGCCAGCTGGAAGCTCAACGCCCAGCTCGTCTTTGGCGGCAAGACGGGCGAGGCCGGTCCCAAGGAGTTCAAGCCCATTGAGGAGATCTTCAAGACCTTCAGCTCTTAGACGCAGCAATCGAATGCGAACGCCTAGAGATAATAATAAAAAAACACCACCACCACCACCACCACCACCATCCCCGAGAGGATTTAGAGCGTAGAAAGAAAGTCAGTGGAGGAGAAAAAAAAAACACACACACACACACACACACACACACACACATATAAAGCTGCATCTGCTGGAGTTTTTGGCCCCACCCCGTTTGGCTATGTAGACACCTTTAGCGATGGACTTTTGAATGAATTTAATGCATTGAAATGATTGTAAACGTTTTTTCGTTGTCGTCTTCTCTCCAAATCCTTTCGGAATAAAAAGTGCCATGTAAGTGAGACGGGATCGGCGCCACGCTGACGGAAGCCAATTGAATCCGCCGATTCGAAATAAGCATCTGACGCCACGCGCTGACGGGAGTCAACCTACATTTGGGGACTGTGGTACATCTGCTGACATCCATTCACGCCTCATGACGCCGGCAGAGTGGGATTAAGAACATGAGAGAAAACGAGCTCTCCGTCTTTGTTATTCATCGCGACGCTCTAAGTCGATTGGTGTATATATGTGTACATGGACATCCGTCCTATTTAGACAGGAGACATCTTACTTTTCACTCTTCTTCAATAAATCCCAATGCCTGGCCCATTCTGACCGTCTGGCCCTTTTCAACAGCCCATCTCCAGCCAGACTTGTCATCCGGCGTCTTGCCCTCGGTAGGCGCCTCAAACACCAGCACGATGGTGCTACCGAGCTGGAAACCACCCATCTCCTCACCTCTTCGCAGAGCGTGACCACCGAGCACAGGACTGGCTGAGGCATACGTCGCCTCCGCGAATCCCGTGTAGGGCTCACCGCGGGCCGCAGCCTCTTCCGCAGCACGATCGGCCGCCGTGTCCGTGGTCAAGCTGTTGGTGCGCAGCTCACGATCAAAGTTGATCTTGATGGATCCCACGTTGGTGGCACCGACGGGGACGTAGCTGAAGAATCCGTAGCGCCAGCGGCCGAGGAGAACAACGCGCTCGTTGAGGGTGAAGAGACCGGGCAGCGTGCGCTGGAGGTAAGGGGAGACGCTGTAGAGCTCGCCGGCAAAGTGACGGCGGCGTTCGACGACCCAATTGGCGGGCGAGTGGAAGCGGTGGTAGTCTCCAGGGGCGAGGTAGATGACGGCGTAGTACAGGGACGTCTTGTTATCGGGCGAGATAAGGTCGTACCAGGGCTTCTCGCCGAGGGCGAGGTCGGCACGAACCTCGGAGACGGCAGACGGTGAGGGTGGTTCGACGGCCTCGTCCTTGAGGGATCCCTTGCGCACCGACATGGCGGCGCCCGAAAGGAGGCTGGGTACCGTGTAGGAGATGCCGTTGACGCGTGCGAATTCCTCATCCGTCTTGACAAGGTCCTCGTTGGGGGAGATATTGGCCTTGTCCGCCTCGGCTTCCTGAGGCGTGGACCATCCGCTTGCGATACTTGATGTGGGAGTGTTCTTGCCGAGGAGGGCGTCGATGCTGTACGTCATGCCCTTGACCTGCTCGATATCTCCGCCTTCAATTTGGCCGTATTGCAAGACGCGGCCATCAGAAGGGGAGAGCAAGGCGTTGGAGTCCGGGTGGAGGGGACGGGAACCAGGCTTGAGCTGGCGGTAGAAGAAGGAGGCAAGGTTCGGGTATGTTCGCAAATCGGGTTCGGCGACTTCATTCAGGCTGTCGATGTAGGTTAGCATGTAATAATACCAGACTTGGACTTTTCGAGACTTTACTTGACGCCAAAGATCCATGAGTAGAGCTTGAAACCGGGAACACGAAGGTAGTAGGGAATAGTCAATTCGTTGAAGCGACCCCAGAGCCTCGAAATCGCTTTCAAGGGCAGCGTCGACATGACCTGGACCTGCCATGGTCCGTCGGGCCTGATCTTTGCGCGCTTCTTAGGCGGTGCGCCATCCTGGACGTCGTCCCTCTCCTGCTTCTCGCGCTCGCGCGTCGAGACCTTATAGAACTGGACCAGGCCCAGGAAGCCGATGCCGAGGCCGACGGGAATCTGGTACCACTGCACTTTGCTGTTGTTGAGGGCGTGCCGCAGACGGGAGGAGAAGCGAGGGCGCTGCTGCTGCTGGGAGAAGAATCGGGACGAGGCGCAGGGGCCGTGGAGAGAGAAGAGATTGGTGGCCCGTAGCTGGCTCTGGCGAGCGTACAGCGTAGCCATGATGCAAATGAGACCTCAAGCGAGGAAGTTTGCGATTGTTTGGGGCCACCGGGCTTTTGGCTGGGTTTGCGGGGACGAGCAAATGGGCGAGACGATGACAGTTTGGATGAGCAGGCGTCTTGCGATAAGATCTTGCAGCTCGGCAGCGGCAGCTTTGGGATGACGCAGCACGAACCATCCAGCCACGCTAGTCTCATTTGGGCAACTAGCAGCAACGTCCTCTTAACGATGCAGAATACCTACCTTAGGCTTTCCTTGAGCACACAAAACTGCTGGTAGCTGATGAATTCCATTTCATCTTTTCAAGGAGGGCGTTGAGAACATCATTCCGAAGTAACGGCAGGACAAACTCATCAAGGCTGCATTTGCCTCGAACTCCTAAGCCGCCAGCCTCTTAGACGGAGAAGTACTCGAGTTGTCCATCTCTGACAGGTCTCGATTGTTCCTTGTGCTTCTGAAGCTTGAGAGACTCAACTGCCCAACATTCTCATCATTTTTGCGGGTCTTGTGTTAGTCATTTGGGCAGAAGAATGGAATTTATCGCAACTCTCGTGTCTCTGTGACTGTGGCTTTAGTTATCCCTTTTGGAGCATCATCGATACGGCGCGATCAAAGCCATACAGCTCTAGTTCAAATACACTTCTTCACGGGAAATCCTGTAAACACCACGGAAATCAGAATGGCAGGAAGGTAAGCCTACCAAATAATGAATACCGGTAGGTAGATTCCAGGTCATGCATACCTCCCTTCCTCAATGTAACTGAGGATCAGATGCATCCCATCTTTGGGCTTACATAATCGGGCTGTCACCACCCGCCCGATTGGGACAGCGTGCATGGATCGGGCCTTCCGGGTCCCAGGGACGGACTACGTACCCACGTTTTTAGTGAGGCCAGCGGGTCCGTACCTGAGCTGGAGAGTCTGCAGTCGGAGAGCAACACATGTCCTAAATTTCCCCGTCTACGAACGACACGGTGACATGAGCATCGTTTCCTTGCGCATACACCACCACTCCTTTCCCGTGGACAATCAGACGAAGCTGCCGCGTCGCGCTCTGCGTGGCATGACCGATAGGCCTCATCATGGCCTCTGAAGCCTCGTCTTCCACCGCGCCCTCTGCGCCAGAGGCTACTTCTGAACACCTGTCCGTAAACCTGCAGGTCTTGTCGCCATCCACCGCTGCCACGTCTAGCCGACCCTTGGTTTTCCCTGGTCTCGCGGCCACCACGACCGTCCGACAGCTCAAGGAGAAAATTCGACAAGCGCTTCCTCTCAAGCCGACTGATGCCCAGCAGCGATTGATCTACCGGGGTCGGCCTTTGGCGCAGGATGGGGATACTCTCTTGACCGTTCTCGGTGAGGAAGTTGTGAGTCCCCCCTGCTCTGCTGACAATTGCACACCATCGCTGACTGACTTGGGAACAGATTCGCACTACCGACCAGCAGACGATTCACCTCGTGCTCCGAGACGTCGCAGAACCGCATCGCTCCACGACTCCGACACCGGCACTTGCTCGAGGGTCGAGCCCGGCGCCGCCCGCTGCCCATTTTCCAAGCCCTTTTGGCACCACTGGCCAGCCCCAACACGTCCATCACCATGGCAGTCAGCCTACGGCTGCGGCCTTCACCAGACGAACGCCTCTGCACCCGACGTCGAATCCTATGCCGTTCCCGGCACCACCCCAAATACCGGCGAACCTGACTCTGCAGCAGCTCCAGCAACTGCAGGCGCAGCAGCACCAGAGCATGACGGCATGGATGAACGGACTTCAACGCGAGGCCATGAACAGGGCCATGGCCCACCAGCAGATCAATCAGAACCAGGCCATGAGAGCGTCCATGGGTATGCATGGAGTTGGCGACACACCGGCGGCCGTCCCCAATCCTGCGGACCCCACTCGTGGACGGGCCAGCCCGCTTAGCAATCCTGACGGGCATACGTATGTGCGAGAGGGCCTCATGCCGAACGGACAGACATATCGCGTGACGGTCAACGAGACCTTCCTCGGTGGCCAATTGAATGTCCAGCAACCGGGCAGCCAAGGTACCTCGACGCCGCTGTCCACTGCTGACGTCCAGACCATCTTGAGGGCAGCTGACAGCAATCAAGCAACATTGGCGATGACCAACGCGATGCAGAGGAGCGCCTCAAGCACATCTCTTGCCAATGGAGGCTCATCTATTGGCGTCACTACTCCTTACTACCCAACCCCTGGATCCAGAGCCAGCAGTAGGCGGCCTACCCCTGACCCTACCGCTCGCTCAGTCAGCGGCGGCAGCAGACATTCTACCAACGCTCAACAGCAAGCACCGTCCGGTCCTGAAGTGTACATCTTGTCTTCGCCTCAAGGCCCTCGTGCTCTATTGATCAACAATGCCACGGACTCGTACTACACTCCAAGAGGGCAGCCTCACACTACCTCAACTCTTCACCAGACCGCATCTGCGCTTGCAAGAATGCGAGGTCGCCCTCAACAAGTCGCCTGGCCAGGAGCTTTTGTGGCTCCACCGCCCCATCACGAAGAACAGCAACCGGCACATCAAGCAGAAACACAACCGCAGGTGCAGCAGCAGCAACCCGAGGCGCAACCACTCATGCATCAGCCTCAGGGGCAGCCGGCCGTAGCAGCAGTGCCAGCTCACCCTAATAACCCAGGTATCGCTCCGCTGATTGCACAAGTGTGGCCTCACTTCTGGCTGGTGGTCAGGCTCGCCCTCTTTGTGTGGTGGTTTACTTCGCCCAATGCAGGCTGGTCAAGGTGGATCACTGTGATTTCAATCGCGATCAGCATCTTTGTTCTAAACACTGGACTTCTAAACAACTACTTTGACCAGGCGGTGGGGCCAGTCAGACGTCATATGGAGAACCTGCTACCCCTAGCTGCGCCGAATAATGTCAATGAGCCTGTCCGTCCCCGAGAAGACCAGGCGGTGGTTGGACGCGATGGTCAACCTGATCCGACACGAGCAGCTGCCAGGCTGGTAGCTCAGCGCAGACACGACAATGCGAACTGGTTGATGGACCAAGTGCGGCGGCTCGAGAGAGCTGGTCTTCTCTTCCTGGCTAGTATTGCACCAGGTGTTGCGGAGCGCCACATTGCTCATCTTGAAGCCGAGGCCCGCGCCGAGCGTCAGAGAAGGGAAGAAGCGGAGGCTGCCGCAGCCGCTGCGGCTGAGGCTGCGGCGAATCCTGAAAACACGGAAATCCAGAATAATGACGAGACAAATGAGACTTCAGGACGCAACGATACAGAGGAGGGTGAGAACGAGGCTCAGAGAGAAACACATGGGGGAGACCAGCGGCGAGCGGAGGAGCAGCAGCCGTTACTGGCGCTGTAAGAGGGACGGGGGCTCAAAGGATCGAATGAGATGAAGGATCGTTGTAAAATACAGATTACCCAGTGGACGCTCCAAGGACGTCCCTTTGCGCATGGAGTCGGGTGTAGAGCGTTGACATCGGGACTCACATCAATGCATATCTTTTCTTTCTAGTTCAGCGTAAAGATCAATTTGTGTTCTATCTATCTCTATCGTGACCAATTTACGCCGTGGATGCAACCGTTACCCAATCTATTGCAATGTCTCAAGCTAATCTACGCAAGCCATCGTCCTGGGTTGAGGTTTTGAGTTGTTGATGGGGCCCGACATGATGGTAATGGCCGCCTAGTATCACTCAAAACTCAACCCTCTTTTCGACGCCCAGAAGTGATAACGCTCTTTACATGAGAGTCTTGCCTCATGTCATTCTCATCGGCTTTCTTCTGTAGTAGACTTCAATATGTTAAACCATAGAGAAAGGGCCATCGTTGGTGTCCGCTCAGCATTCTCTTCGTCGCGACCTCTCTTCTCTCCGTCCTTTTCGACCCCATGATCATTTCTCCTTGGTCATGGGTTAGACAGCCGCCCATCGTCGTCTCTAGAACGGCGGCCGTCTACGAAGTAGTGTTGGTGACTAGATCAATGCGACCCTTTCCTCACCGTTTATCGGACGCCTTCTTCTCTGCCTTCTTCTCTGCCTTCTTCATATAACTTTTTCTTTTGTGCCTTTCTCTCTCTCTCTCTCTCTCTCTCTCTCTCTCTTTCTCTCTCTCTCTCTCTCTCTCTCTTCATCTCTCCATCGTGTCCATATCTGTACAGGCACCGGCGGATATTGATTTTCCATCTGGCCCTGGTGTTCTCCCAGACTCAAGCAATCTCGGCAATGGCGCCCTTGATCCGGGTCTTGCGTCATAGAATTGCTTCGCGGGCGCCTGATTCAGTGTTATTGTGGTCATGGACGATGTTCATTACTCATCGGCTCTCACTTCATTACCATCATCTCAGACGATAAGTAGGGAGGGCTGGGAATGACGTTGCCCCCCGCCCCCCGCCCCCCCGATATGATAGTGGAGAGTGGCGTAGGCAGGCAGATATCATCGGTTCGACGTTCCCAAAACGAGTCCTGTCGCATCGATTTGCGTCCGGCGTATGCCGCAGGAGAAGGGGGGCGGGTTTCAGACAGACTCCTGCTTGCCCTGGACCTTGACCAAGCCTAAGCCCCGGGCGCTTCGTCCGTCGACGATCACAGGCCCGGGACGTCTGGCGGCAGGCTGCTGGGGAGCAGCAGCAGAAGTCTCCTTTTCTTCCTTCTTCTCCCCGGACGAGGGCGGAGGCTCTGCTGGCTCCTCTTGGGAGGAGTGCTCCTCAGAGAGCAGCTCCTCGGGAGTTTCCTCCACGGTGGAGAGCTGCCCTCCTTCCTCGTCTTGAGGACTCTCCTCCTCGGGGTGCTTCGCCTTGGGAGTCTCCTCTTCTGCGGCAGGCTGTTCTGCATCCCCTTCCTCCGCAGAGTACTCTTCGGAGGTATGTTCCGGGGAAGGAGGGGTGACATCGCCGGCAACGGAATCAGGTAGCTGCCGTGGCGACGACTGAGGTGTGGCTGCCCCGTAGGACTGTTCGCTCGCGGGAAGGGGCGGGCCGTACATGGAGCCAGATGACTCGCTCATGCTCACGTCGTCGCCGTCGCCCTCGTAGCCCTCGTCGCCGTCGCCATTAGCGTTGGCACTGCCGCTGCCGCTGGCCTCTCCATTATCGACGTGCCCGTCCCGGCCGCCATCGTGCCGGAAATGACACCCCGGCCTCTTGCAGCCAAGACCGTACCAGCATTGTATGGTGCTGGGGTCTTGGGCTCCTGCAACTACTGCGGCAGGAGCTGTATTAGGGACAGGGGCCTGTTCAGGTGCCGGCGAGAAGGAGGCCTCGGCAGGCGCGAGCTCAAGCCCTGAGCTATGGTGAGGGTTAGGGGGCGCAAGGGAGGGGGAAAGGGGGTAGTCCACCGACCCGGGTCCGGGTCCGAAGCCCGGAGAGGGCGCGAGGACGTTTGACGGGCCCGTGCCGAAGCCAGGAGGCGGGCTGACGGGTCTGGGCTGGTAGTGGTGGTGATGGTGGTCGGGGTAAAGGTGAGTGGGTTGCCAGTTCACGCCCATGGGATCGGGCGGCGGGAAAGAAGGGCCGGCATAGCCGTGCCCGACGTGAGAGACGTGGTACGGGGGGTCGTAGTAGGGCCCCAGGGGACCGTTTCCCGGCGGCGGGTGGACCGGGTGTGAAGGCCCGGCGAGGCTCGAGGGCCCAACGTACGGCGGCAGCGGCGAGTCCAAGTACGACGTCGACTCCGCCTGCGTACCGTCGAACGTCGGCCGGCCCAGGGTATCGGGCATGGGATTGGGGATGTGACATCCCACCCACTGAGGCAGCGGCGACGCTTGCTGGTGCTGCTGCTGCCGATGGTGATTGTGTGCGCCGTTGTTGGTGTGGTGGCCGTTGCTGGTGTAATGGCCGTGGTTGACGTAGTGGCCGTTGACGCACAACCCGCTATTGTACGTCACATGGCTGCTGTAGACGGCGTTGTTATACCTCGCCTCCGCCAGCGCGACTTCCTCCTCCTGATGGAACGCGGCTTCCACCATCTCGGGTCTGAGTTCCTCCTCTCTGTGGGGGAAGTTGCAGTTTGCTTTGCCGTAGGTGCAACGGGCCTCGAGGAAGTGGCGGCAGGTGGATCGTTTTTCCCACGGTCTGCGGTTGGGCTTCTTTCCCTTGGAGGACTTCTTGTCCTCGCGATTGTTGTTGTGTTCCATTGTGAGGGGTATAAATGGTGTTACGAAGGGGGGGGGGGGGCAAGAAAGGACAACTGGGCAGGCAACTGGTAACTGACTGACTGGCCTACTTGCGAGAATGGGGAAGGACTCAGAGGGGATGAGACGTGCTCTATTATGGGTTATGGAAGAAAATACCGGAGATGGGTGGTATTTCTACTGGGGACCTTGCGGCGCTGGCGGCGTGGGTTACTGTGGTGAATATGTATCGGAGATGGGATAGAAAGGAAGGGGTGGATCACTTTTGTATCGGAAATAGCTTCACTGCAGGTGCATCGGAGACGGGTTTGTATGAGTTTGATAGACTGGAGATACTGGCTTGCTGTCCTGGATCCCGCAGACTCACGAACCGGCCTTGGGTCAAGGCAATCGTGGTTTGCTCTTCCTTCCAGAATGGTTCGCATCAATCACACTCATATTTAAGTGACTCTACAGAGTGAATCCACAAGTAATGCGAATTCGTTGGGAAACTTCAAACGTGGGTGATTCACAGAATGTGGAAGCAAACAAGACGGAACCGTGGTGAGTGGTCGTTGGTCTCGGTACTGGCAGGGGGGTCATGGTAAAACTTTACCGCCAGGGAACTCAAGGCTTTGATGTCGAACACCAGAACAAACAAGCAACAGTAACAGATTGAAAAGGGTCTATCGTCATGGTAAAATTGTGATGCGACCTCCATTACGTCCTACTGCAGTTGTTGCAGAACATAGTCATTCACCGTCGTGGTTGTTCAGTTTCGGACGATGAAGAGACTTTTCCCGGGGCGGCGCGAGGAAAGTGAATTCGGAGGTAAGGTAAAAGAGTGGATCACGAGTACCATGTCTCCCGTCCGGCCGATCTCCCGCACCGGAGCAAAGTGGAGTCAAAAAAGTCAGGGTGGATCCACCCGGCCCTACGGGCGGGGAGTACGGGGGTAGTGTACGAAGGCGGAGTGTGTCCAAAAACGCAAGTTGACGTGCTGAGTCAGGTAGCATCGCAGTGTACCAGGTAGGTCGCCGGCAAACCACGCAAAACCCACTCCCACCGACACCGACACCCCCGTGACCCCGATTAGCGACTGTGCGCGCCGCCAGCCCAGCGAAGACGGGGGAAGAGAGGAGAGAGGCGTCCGGGTGCGGCGCCGTTTGGAGGAATTTCTGACGTGAACTTGACAGGTACCGGTGTCCGTCAATGGTGGGAATGTGATGGGCACTGACAATAGTCTGGCGGCGGCGGGCCGTGAGCAGGATTCTTTTTTTTTTTTTGGAGCCATCTTGCCCTCCCCGTGCCTGAAGCTCTTCATCACGGAGGTCTCGGACCCGATCACGGACAGGAAGGGGGGAACGCTGGAAACGTACCCTACCTTCAGATTTTGACGATGCCGGGTGCCGAGAGATACGAAGAGCGGGAAGGATTACCTAAAGCTTTGGGCGTTTGGTGCGCGTGGGCAACCGTCTCCGGGCAATTGAGAGGAATGGGGAAGGGGCATGGATGGATCGGTAGCAGCATGAAGAAGTTGGATGCAAAAGGGGAAATACGGCGCATGATGATGGCCTGCGCGTTACAGTGAGGGGACGGGGGGGGGGGGGGGTTCGTATCGCTGGAGTCCTGGACGACACGGTCGCGGCCATTGAAGAAATGCTAGCCCCCGGGAGAATGAGTTTTGCGTCAGGGCCGTTTGTTCATCACTTCGTCCCCGAATGCAGACAAAGAGAATGCCATTATTGAATTGCGGTAGTTGGTTAGTCGAGTAAATAATGAGACATGTAGATTCCCTTTGCCCACCTCACCTTACGTTAGTATCTTTGCTGCGTACCTACGGTAGATACCTTAGGTACCTTAGGTAGGCTGTAGGTACGGGACAGGGAGGAATTGCGGCTGAGCACGGTCGGCGGCTTCGAGACGAAAGGGGCACTCCCGTCTTTTTTTGGTGGTACAAAGGACGGCCAGAGCATGAAACCGCAATGCGAATCTCTGTTGTGAGTTGAAACTAGCGGGCTGCGCCAGGCCTGCCCAGCCACCCTGCCATTCCAGTAGCCCCTTGCCCTCTTCTCTGGAGGAGCTCTCACTCGTTTGGTCCTTGAACTTTTGGGCTAGGGTTGGCGGGTTGGCGGGTTGGCGGGTGGGTTTGGTCCTTGGCTTAGCATGGCTTAGGCTTAACCGCCCGGACGGGTGGTTAATGCATGCCTTGTTCTGTCGCTGTGTCTCTCCATCGTTGTTCCCCATTGTCATTGTCGCGTCTTGCGAGTAAGTAAGCTGATAGCGGAAACAATGGCAGAGACGAAATCAAAAAGGGGGCTTGCCGTGGGCGTTGGAACTTGGATGGTGGGTGGACGGACCCGGACGGCTTTAGCAGACAAGCAAGGGAGAGTTCGTCAAGGTCTATCCGTACGCCGTAGTGCTCTGTAGGTGTTGTGTCCCCCGGGAATATCATCAGCAGCCGATCGAGGTTGCACATACCCCCGCAGACTTGTTGAGCAGGAAGAAGAAAGCAAGCAAGTCGTGGGCCAATATTTGGTCTGCTGGAGACTGCGTATGTACTCTGGAGTACGTACGGTGGTTGGCTACTGTTTGGCCAGCCTCCCACAACCTCCGCACGCTTGGCTGCAGCCTCCATCCTCATCCTCCAAGCAAATTCGCGGTGAAGGGGACGCGGTGAGGAGGAGGAGGAGGAGGCCATGCGGGCATGGTCGGTGGGCTCCCGTCAGTCTCCTCCGGTGGGTGGTTCCAGAGCTGCCGGACGGACGATTGCTGCAGATTCATCGGGCCCCTCGGGGGTGTTGTGCGTCTTTCGATTGATCCTCCAAACCTCCGCCCGCCCAGAGCACGTGCGTTGTCCATAGTGAACGAATAGTGGTACCTATGGTATTTGTTCTTTACATTGAATAACCTTGGAATAGAAGGGTATGGATACCTTGAATGACCTGAATGAGCGACGACTTACTTCCAAGGTTGCTTGTTAGCCCACTTTTGCGGCGCAGGTACACGACAGTTGGCGGGTGGGGTCATAGAACGACCAGGTACCGAAGATGGGCAAGATTCCAAGATGGGAGAGATGCGTGTGAGATGGTGCGGATAGATGGGAGATGCTGGACGGGGAATGGAGCTGGGACCCGTCAGTCAGCGTCATCTACCTGCCTGGGTACCTTGGTTCTGAGGGACCCGACTGCGAGCGGCGACTCCGCAGTACGAATCTTGTCCCCGCCACCCGTTAGCACTTCTACACCAAAAGACACCGAAAACGCCAGCTGTTCTCTAACAAGATCCGGACATGACCCGCGTACTGTACCCCCAGACCCGCTTGTACCTTGTCCAGCTGCGTCTGTTGCCGTCGTCTCCCGTACGGATGCACCTTTTTTTTTCTTGGTGCTGTTAGTGTACTTCGTTGCCCCCGTCTTCTTCGTCCTCCAGCGTCGGGCGGTGCCAGTTGCGAGTGACCTCTTCCCGGAGCAGGCAGTCCTGTCCTGGCCTGTTACTATCGGTACGTACACAGCAGATGTAGATGTAGACATCTCGGCGTTTCCATCCTTCTCTCCTTCTTCCATTCTCTCCTCACATTACAATTAATACAAGCCAACACTTGACAGATTGGTTGACGGGAATCGGCAACCGCCCAAGCCCTCGCTTGAATTGTTATTGCCTTTTAGACCTGGCTGTCTACTGCTTACTTTTGAATCTAACTTTGTTTCTCAGAAAGAAACCTACTTCGAGACCTCTACCACCACCACCACCACACGCAACGAGGGATATACGCACGCATTATCCATACTTGGTACCAAACCACCGGATTGCGTGTGCAGCCCTTTGCTCATACCTTGCTTTTATTTTTATTCTTTTTTTCCTCATCCCCCTCTTTTTCCATCCCAACTCTGAATTTCTCTCCCCCGTTCGATCTCTCCCTACTCTGCCTCTAGGCTTTCGAAGGTATCGTTCGGATACTTGATCCCCCGGTCCATTCTCCCTACGTGAACGGGGCCTATCTATCTACCTTGCCTTGCCTTAACTAAAGTACCTTGCTTTTCGATAGTAAAAGGTGCCTAGTTACGGTAGTCATCCATCGCCCTTGGGTAGCCCGGGCAGCAGAGAACCCGACCGACTCCCTTTGCGCCGCTGCCGCCTACATAACCTTACCTTAGGTTACCTGCTTACCTACATTTAAAGTACTTTCCCCCCAAGGTGCCCGCGCCGCACGCTCAGCTGGGAACCTGAGAGAGTGAGAGTGAGAGTGAGAGTGAGAGAGAGGGGGCCCGCTACAAACAAGATACAGCCCATGCCCCATCGACCTGCGACTTGGGTCAGTCGGAGAACTGTGGCAACGCAACCACTCGTGCTGCTCGCTACCTTACTCTTCCACCGTCGTAGCGGTGCTCAGCAAAGCACAGCACAACCGCCCGGCCACCACCACCAGCCTACCTACCTATCTACCTTACCTAAGTACCTCACTTCTAGGTACCTCACTCCAGAGACGACTACAACGCTCGTCTGACCTTGCCGACCGACGCTACCGTGCCTTACCTGCGTGCCTACCCACAGCACCCCGTCCGCCTACCCTCACCTTACGCTCACGCCTACGCCGCCCGCCCGCGCCAACCCAACTTGTCCCAAACCAACAACCAACTCTTCGCATCTCATTCAATCCCAGCCAATCTCTCTCTCTCTCTCTCTCTCTCTCTCTCTCTCTCTCTCTCTCTCTCTCTCTCTCTCTTCGCACCGTCCGTCCGTCGACGACGACCTTCCTTTATTCTTTTGCCGTGTCCAGTTTATTTCGCCTGTCGCCTTTCTCTTTCTCATCGCTTGCTTCACGAGTGTCGATTCGCCCGCGAATGCTGCTTTCGCGGCGGTGACGCCAGCCGTCCCTCCTCTCGACCGACCGATCCTACCTCACCACCTCTCTACTCACGAGTCCTCCACCCCCCCACGAACGACAGCCGACCGATTGACCGGATTGCATCGACAAACGTCCTCGCCTGCGCACAATGGCACCCTCAGCTCCATCATCGGCGCTGAACGGCGTTGTCATCGGATTACTCTCATCCTTTGGTTCCGCCGTCCTTATCGCTCTCATCTTCCTCGTCATCTACTTCTTCAGATACACGGCCAGCGGCCGCATCTTTCTCGATCGCATCGGCCGACCCGGCGAATACGACGATGAGCAGGCTTTCGCCCGGGAGGAGGCCGAGGCTCTCGAGTCCATGGACGAAATGCAGAGGACCGAGTACCTCAGGGCAAAAGGTAGGCAGGCTTCGTATTGTCCTTACCGCGATATCCGCACACGACTAACCAACCTTCGTTGTAGCATTCATCCAAGCGAACCCTCCCGAATCCGTCCAAACCGACATTTCTCTATCGCAATATCTCGCCATTCAAGAAAAGGGTGTTTCCGCCTGGGAGTTTGAACCCGAATTGGAAATCGCAAACTGTTTCGTCGAAGGCCGCACCGAGATTGAGTTCTTTGACTCCGAATGCACTGTCATGAGCAATCTGCCGGTGCCCAAGCAAAACGAGGTCTACTATTGGGAAGCCAAGATCTACGATAAGCCCGAAACTACCCTCCTCAGCATCGGCATGGCTACCAAACCGTACCCGTTATTCAGACTACCAGGTATGTGGCATTCCAGCCCCTCGCTGCAACCGCATGACGCTAATCATCCAGGCTTCCACAAACATTCCGTAGCATACCTCTCAGCAGGCCAGCGCCGTTGCAACCAGCCATTTGCCGCAACTCCCTACGGACCCCAGTTCGTTCAGGGCGATGTCATCGGCGTTGGTTATCGTCCCCGGACGGGCACTATTTTCTTCACCCGCAATGGTAAGAAGCTGGAAGATGCCGTTCACGGTGTCAAGTCGCAAAACTTCTTCCCTGCTATCGGGGCCAACGGGCCCTGTATTGTCCACGTCAACTTTGGCCAGGCCGGTTTCGTCTTTATCGAGGCCAACGTGAAGAAATGGGGCCTTGCCCCGATGACGGGCAGCCTGGCACCACCGCCACCGTATGGCTCCGAACAGGGCGATATCCTGCTCGAGGCTGGACGCAAGGACGGGTACACGAGTGCTACCGGCGGCGGCGGCGGCGGCGGACAGCAGCGGGGGCACTCCCAGACGCAGTCCTACTCGCAAAGTGGCTTGGGACCTCAACATGGGCGGACGAGAAGCGGAAACTTCAGAGTACTTCCACCGAGGAGCCCCGGTCCCGTAAGAAGCCCGACTGACATCTCTCTGACGCACTTTGTGTCCGACGATGAGGGCGGCGAGCCAAGCAGCAGCATCAATCGCGGGCACGAAGGGCAAAGCGTCGTAGGGCTTGGGCTTCAAGACGCCTTGAACCCGCCACCCGAGTATACGAGCCCCGATCACTCGGAGGCCGGCAGCCGTCGGAACAGCACAGACAGCGAGAATACGCCTTTGATCCGCGTTCTTAATCGGAGTCGAGGCGCCTCGGCAGCCGCTGCGGCCGGACCATCGCACCCACCGATACCCAGCTACACTGATGCGGTGAGAGCCGGCGCGGGGCGGGAGGGGAACAGCACTCCGCGATCCAGCAACCGACGCGGCAACCGGTCAAGGTCTCAGAGCGCGCAATGATGTTTGAAATCTTGAAATCTTGCTGGGCAGGACGAAACGGTACCATACCCCCGAAGAAGCATCAGAAGCCTGGTCAAACGGAGTTGAGGACGGCGGAACAGGGCAAGCCGTCATAATGTGGAGTTTGGGGGACCTCACCAGCCAAGGATGAGAAGCCCCTCCAAACCTGGCGAATCTTGGAGTTTGGCATTTTGGAATAGACGGGATGCTGGTTTGTTTTTCACCCAAAGGGGACAACGGGAGGGAAAGGATTCCTTTTTTCTTTTCTACTTTGTTTTGTTCACGTGGTTTGTCCCGGCCGCGAGCGTCATGATACCTTTGGACCACACACAACACCCGCATCGAATTGACGCGCACATCTACTCTCTTTTTTTTCAGGTTCAGATTTGCGGTGTGTGGTGGTGTTAGCCTCCCCGCAAATTCCTGTTCCCGCTCCGATTGTACGAAGAACACCGCCACCACCACCATCCCCCAAAAAGTAGGAGTCGCAAGGAGAGTCTTCCTCTGCCCGACAAAGAAGGGCCACGGAGAATATACATGTACACAGGCATATACTGCATCAATCATACCAACCTTTGTGCTGTCCAATATGCTGCGTCCTGCTACGTGACACGTGATGTAAAAAGATCCCGACTACGGAGTACTATCGTCATGTTTGTGTAAGTGATCAAGTAGGATCGAGTCAAGATCATTGGGGTGGGACCACCGTCCATGACGCAAGGCTTGGAAGGGAAGCGTGGGAATTTAGACTTTTGGGCAAAGTAAGTCATTCTTATTCCCTGCTTGTGCATGTCAGCTTTTTTGCACGTGCAATGTCATGTCCATGGCTAAAATGGTCATTGGCCATCCATCCAATAGGTCGCAAGTTTCTTCCCCCGACCAATAACCAAACACAGACTGGCGCTTACTTTTGATTCGTCGAAACCGACAACCACTCCAAAAAAAAAACAAAAAAAAAGAAAAGAAAAAAAAAACGTGGGCAGTGGGTATCGTGGGATTTTGAGAGCAAAAACGAAGATACAGGGGAAGCAAGAAAACAAAAGACATACAACACCAGGTATTCGCTGGTCGTCACCGACCCAACTACTAATCCGGCCCTCATTGGCTTATCTATGGGAGAGCGGACGGGATCCCGAGTTTTCCAATGGGTATGGTCGTATGTGGTGATCTGAAGCTAGGAAGGGGCTAATGATGGCTGTTTTGAGGTTGTTGTGAAGAAAGGGAAGGTCGGGATGGCAAATTGGGGGATTGTAATGGGAACCATCTGAGTAGAGAAGAGGGGAGACCTTTCTTCTAGTGACTTGACTAAGTTCAAGCAGTGAGTGTCGCTCTTTGAAACGGAAAGAAGAAACATGATGTAACCGAATGTTCACCGTTTCGGGACGGTGAAGTCGCTCATAAGTATTTTACTGTTCTATTTACCCTAGAGTATAAGACCAACATAGAGAAAAGCTAGCTGGCTAAAGTAGGCACCAACAAACTTGATACCTATCTAGGCGCCTCAAGGAGGATGTTGGGAATATGCACATCTGCCTGATTTCGACCTGCATGGCGACCAATTCACCAACCATACCTCAGCACCACAGGGAATTATTCAAGATAGCTGACCTTTCCTCCTCTTCCCTTCACCGCTCCACGTTTGTCTTATTATCCTTTCATATTCTCTTTCCACGTTTGTGGCCACAGTTCGAGTGTTTTCAGTCACATGGAAGTGACACTGGCACAGAGGCCACAGAGCCTGCCGTCGTACCGCTGGGAACCGTTGAAACACCCAGACTCGACACGCGTGCTTGTCTTTCATCCCGCAGCCTCATTCAAAACTCAACTGCGGTGTTTCCATGATCCAGTACAGTCTGGCAGGAGCAGCTTCGCAGCACAGAACACGTCCCGGAACTATTCTGCCGTTATCGTACACCTGGGAGGTCTGCCCGATTTCTCCGTCGACCTCATCATTGATCAAAGCAGTGTTCATGGCGATGACCATCACGCCCAAGAAGTCGCTGTTTGAGAGTCACACCGACCGTCGACAGCATCCTGCGATACCTACGCGATCCTCACAAGTCGCTGTACCTCTGGATTGACGCCCTGTGCATCGACCAACAGGATGAGAAAGATAAGGCGGTGCAGATTCCACAGATGGGCGAGATCTACAGGTGCGCCGAGACGTGTGTACATCTGGCTTGGTGACGTCGATGCCGATGAGGTCGCAATAGCATTTGCCAACATACGTATGGCTCAGACGCTGTCGGCGGCGACCGAGTCCTACAAGACGGTTCTTTGCAAAAGCCTGACGATACTGACGCAAAAGCCGTGGTTCACTGGAAGATGGGTTATCCAGGAGGTCAAGCTTGCAGATCGAGCCGTCTTGCATTATGGCGAGCACTATATTGAGTACACACGCTTCCGAGCAGCTTGGTACTTGGTGGGGCGTTGCCTGCTATCCCAGGGTAACCTGGGATATTTACGACATCTGCTACGGCGTAATGTGACAGAAGACCTCTTGGAACTCCTCTGGGGATTTCATATGGCCAAATACTCAGACCCGCGAGATTGTCTTGCAGCTTTGTACGGTTTCTTCCCCCAGAGCGAACAGCCGATTGCTCTCCATTATGACCAGGTCGGTTGGAAGGAAATGTATCGTCGGCTAGCTGAGAGATCTATCAATAAAGGCACTCTATCGGCGAGCAGGGTTATTCTACACCTTTTCGCGTTTGGATCGGCTGCTGGAAGAAGCCTAGACAACCGCCTTGGGTCCCTAATTGGTCTGGGGTTCGACAGCCGGGATTGGCGTCGGGCGACTTCCTTATGGATTGCCTGGACTCAACAGATCGCGGCGACAAGCCTTGGATCGACTGTTCCGATAAGATGGGCGGCTTGAAGACTGAAGGTCCTTGTTCAGAATCCCACTGGAAAGATAGTTTGTTTGGCAAAGTGAAAGAGAAGCTCTGGCTCCAAGAGGCACAACAAGACATCCCAGGTTACAGAGTGTGCAGCGGATCCAGACTTGTCAGGTATGGGTTCGCAACGAGATTCTTTTCTGAACAGACGAAACCAAGGGTCAGGTGGTCGTCATTTCGTGGTGGCCTCTATGGGAAGAATGCCCGACTGATCCTGACGCTACCGCGAGAACTAGTAGTCGAGAAGGAATGGTTATGGAAACACGCACTCTCATGTCTCCAGCCGATCCAAGATCAATTCGTGGCACCTAGGGTTTGTCTAAGAATCACGGCATTGTTTGAAATCACCCTAAAGGGCAAGGACGTTGTGTCAGAGGACAATGATCAGCTGAGCAGCTAGCCTTTGCACACGCTCATGGAGAAGCTGTACGAAATAGTCAGAACTGGCTTTGAGAATCTGGTGTCCCTTGCCGAGGACCAAATACTGCTACTCACATTGATTGGTAGCATCCTACAAAAGTTCGCTTTGGTTGAGCTGCATCCTTTGCCGTACTCTCTTGAGTATGTCGGTCCGCAAGATTCTGCGAGCTCGGAAAGAGAGTATGGTTTGGCACCTCACGACATGAAATTTGGTGACATATTGATCCCTTTTGACGAAACAGAGCTGCGATATTTCGCAGTAGATGAGTCTTTTCTCAAAAACTCGGACATGGCAGACGCCTGGAAGATCATGCAGGGCTTCGCAATACAGCATCTGGTCGAGGTATCGATATGCTTACGGCCGATCTCGCCCAAGCTAGTGTACGAGGTTTCAGACGTTTCCCAAGATGGGCTGCCATTACCTTTGGACGAAATCGCAGCACTGAATGACGGCTCTCGGAGAACATACAGAGATCGGCAAAATGACTAAGTGTTTTCCTATCCTCCGAACCGGGTTCGAACAGCGCGATACCTAGGGCCTGCCTACTGTGTCAGCCAGTATCGCATTCGCCTTTGGAATTCCGAAGAATTTGATCGTGATGCGCAATTCGAGTCCTTTGATCAGGAGACGCGTTTTTAAACCAAGATTTGGAAAGACTAAACGGATGCTCGCGCGGCAGGTCTCTGTCGGCCAGTAAACATAGACATAGTGTAGCGCAGCTGAGTATTGCTAGTGGAAGATTCGATCCTTTATGAAGTCGACCCTCATACTCATTTCATAAGCGTCCGTCCATGGTGTATGCGTGCGTGTACTCAATTTCGCGCCTCGAGGAACAGAACTCAAACACGTCTCAGTTGGGAATCCAATCAACGGATTCTCAACCCCAGTCGTTACTCTCTTCAATGACCACTTGTACTTGAAAACAGCCCCGAGTTACTCTCGTACTCGCCGCACTCAAGACCTCACCCACCCCTCAAATACCTCCTTGTACTCCTTCCTCCACCGACTCAGCGCAGGCCGCCTCTGAACAACATCCTCCGCAGCCCAGAGAATTCTCTTGGCGTCCGTCTCCTCCGTCATCTCGTTATCGGGACAAATCACATAAAACTCGTCTATTGCCACTTTGGCCTCCAAGTAGTCTGCAACTTGCTCCGGAGTCCACGCAGCAGCAGGTTTCTCTGCCGACGTGCGTTCCTCTTCGCTGCGTCCGAGACTTGTAAAAGTCCATCCCGGCACGAGGAGAGAAACGCCGGTGTTGGAGGAAGAGCCGCGGAGGTCATAGGAGAGGTGTTCCGCGATGGTTGTGACGGCGGATTTGCTGGCGTTGTAGGCTGGGTTGCCGGGTGGGTTTGTGATGCCTTGTTTTGAGCCTGTTATCACGATGGCGGCGGCGGAGGAGGACGACGACGACGATGAGACGACGGATTTGAAGGTCGTGATGCCGTTTATCACGCCAAAGAAGTTTACGTTAAAGATATTTTGAAAGGCCGAGGGGTCGTCCCAGGCGGAGGAAGGCTGTATCCCGGCATTGAGGAACAGGAAGTCGATGCGGCCTGGCGAGGTGCGTGTTAGCATGTCTGTCTACCCGAGGTAGGAACAACATGGAGTGAGGCGATCTCTGACCCTGAAAATCACTGTCGACGCGTTTCCTAAGATGAGCCCAGCCCTACAGACTGCTGACGTCTGCCCTTGCGGTCATGACGTTGTCTTCCCCTAAGCTACCTCGTGCCGAGGCCAGGAATCCGTCGTTGTTGTCGACGATGAGGACCTTCATGCCATGGCCGAGGCATTTCTTGGCGACGGCGAGGCCGATGCCTGATGCGCCTCCGGTGATGAGGGCTGTTTTTGAGACTGCGAAGGTGAAGGGCGGCATTGAGGCGGTAGACTTAGGTTCAGTTCCAGGTTCCAGTGTTGGTTTCTTGTCCAGGCACAAGTGAAGCTACGAATAGCTTTCGAGGTAAAGGTCTGAAACACTTGATTTGAATAACCTCGAGTATCTAAGGCCTTGTGCCTCTGTGTTTGAGTAGTTCTATCATTCGTATACAAGTAGCGCGCCGTGGGAAGACTTGATTAGCAATCCTCATCGTCCTCAAGGGGGGGAGGGGGGCCGCTTGCTCTCCGCGGCGAAGAGCAGCGCCCCATGGCTTATAGTCTGGAAGGATAAGGCTAGTCGGTTGATATGCGAGGGCCACTTTTCGAGGAGTTGGTGGTTATCGCCATGATGAGAGGATCCCCAGCTTCGGATCTCTCACACATTGATCCTTTCGATTCGATTTTCAGTTGCATGTTCTCTCTCCAGGCCACGCGTGGGGCTCTTCAAGGACGAAGTGAAGCTGTTGGCTGGAGGAAAGCTCGCCTCAGACGCCGTGAACTATTGCAGGAGAGCATCTTTGAAGCAAGGAATATGCCGCGCATGAGAAAGTCCAAGTCCCTGAGGACGACGTGATTTGCCTCTCTCAAAGCACGATTACATACTGTGGACCAACGAGTTCCCTGGGCTGCATGTAAGGTTTGTTAGCTTGCCCGCACATCTGCTCAACCGCGCGGAATCACATCGGCGCGGGCCGGCGGGCACCCACCGATCTGCAAGTGGATCACCCATACAAAAGATATTCCCTACGCTTACTCTCTATAAATAAGCTGATGAAGTTACGGGAAAGAATAGTCCAATTCAATGATAAAGAGCCCCTCCTTCCCCCGCTTTGTCATCTTTTCCCTAAATCTTCTCCTTCTGCTGGGCTCCCTCCAAAGCCGTACACCACGCCGCACATCGACAGGTATAGATCTCAGCAGCGGGCCTCAACCGGTTCAGCGCGGCAGCATCATCCAACACACCGGCCTTGACGAACTTGAACGGGGATGACGCTCCGCCAGCCCAGAGCGTTACGCCGCAGGTTCCGCAAAAGTGGTTGACAGCCTGGTTGCCGCTGTCAGACGTGCTAGCGTAGTTCGTTGGTGTGCTCATGTCACAAGAAAAGGCGGCGGCCAGGACTAAGACGCTTAGGCCAAAGGCGCCTCCTGATACTTTGCGGCAATCGAGGCAGTGGCAGGCGGCCTGCGTTCGTGGGTTAGTGAACGGTGTAAGTAAGGAGGACGAGGGAGGTGGGCTTTCACTCTTGAGTAGTGACTGACTGTGGTTATGGGGTCTCCTTTGAACGATATCCTGATGTTACCGCAGCGGCAGCTTCCGTAGGACGATGACATGATGTTGAGATGGGCGTTACTGTGCGCCTGAAACCAGAGGCGGAGATGAGTAGAGACCTAGCGTGAGTCTGTGAGAGACTATTGGATTGCGTAACCATCAAGGTCAATCAAACTCAGGCAAATGACGTGAATACATCATCAGTCACTCAAATTCTGCACGTATCGACGGGTACGGTGATATAGTAGAGTTCCTGCCTCCAGATGTCTGAGTGCAATCTCTTGCCGAAAGGGGGCAGGGTATCCGCCGGGCTGCCGTCTCCGATGTGGAGTCAAGATTCGCCGGTTGTCGCGCCCGGCTTCGGTGTCCGTGATTCCGCCCGTACGGTGGGCCAGACAGTGTTCTTTCTTTAGTCTTGCTACCTCCATCACGGATGATTACGAACTGTACACGGAGCAATCGTCCGATGAACAACGACGATCCCGACCTCACTTGCGTCGAGCCCATAGCCCCGGCTTCACGAACTTATCCTAGGCTTTTCTCCTTTTCAATGCAGGCGTATGGCAGAGCCCTAGATGGTAAAACTAGTCGGTATTCCTGGTTTGGTAGTCTCACAACTGCCGACTTTGACATTCCAGATAATTAATTAGACTTTCGCTTCCTCCCGCGCCCTTAGTCCAGGTACGGATCTAAGTTGTGGATCGCCGCCTTGAGTTAACGTCTATCAGAGACCAGTAAGCATGAGGCATCCTAGCTTCGAGTACCAAGGCTCTGTTCAGTAGGTCATGACCTGCCACATAGTTGCTTAGAGCTCAAACACGCTGGAACTCGATTGATTTGGCGAGCTTTGGCTCACTGACTTACTCAGAATTGACGAGACTGTCTGTGCAAGTCACTGATAAGCAATGCAGGGCATAGTAGGAGAAAAAGAGGTTTCTCTATCGCGGCTATTCGTACAAATTCTAGTCGTTCCCATCTGTGTATCCAACTCCGGCTTCACGCTCAAATTAACACGCTCTGAGAAGCTGAAACAAAAGAAACCGCAAAACAGAAGAGAACAAACATAACATGCCAAACTACTTCTCGCTTGGGAAAGGGGTCAACCACTTGTATCTGCCGTTGAAGACCTCCTTAGCCGGTACAAAGTCCAACACCTTAGCCCTCTGGATAGACGGAGACATGTTGAACGTGAAGAAGATCTTCTGCACGAACGAAAAGGCCATGACGTATCTCGCCATGATCCAGTCAAAAGTCGACGCCCAGGCCTGCGACCTCGTCAGCCGCGCCGACGCATCCAAATCCTTCTCCAAGAGGACGTGTCTCTCCTCGCGGTAACTGTCAAAGAGCTTCTGCAGGTCGTCGGGGGGAGGGATGTTGCCGTTGGCCGTGAGTTTCTGCAGCCGATTGCAGACGGCGACGACGTCCTGCAGGCCGTTGTTGAAGCCCAGGCCGGCATTGGGGGTGAACTTGTGCACGGCGTCGCCGACGAGCACGATACGCCCTCCCCAGCTCCAGTTCTTGCAGATGCCTTCCTCGAGACCGGCGCCGCCCGCGCTGTACCGCTCCTTGAAGACGTCCTTGACCGTGATGTTCTCTGCGACGGGCCAGTCGGCAAAACGCTCGGCGTACTCTTCAAGCTGCTCGGGTGTGAAGGAGATCCTCTCGGGGATGGGTGCGGTGAGCTTCTCGTAAAGGAAGATCCACCCCCGTTCCTTGCCGGTGAGGTACATGATAGACTTATCCTTGCTCTGCGTCTCGCACCCTTGCCCGGCGTCGGTGGGTCGCGGGAACGACGCCCAAAGACACTGGTACTGGATCTTGTACGGATTGACCGGGTCCCAGTCGCGGTTGGGGTCCTCGGCGAGGGCGAGCTTGCGCATCTGGCATCTGGTGGCGGAGTGGACACCGTCGGCGCCGATGATCATGTTCCCAGAGTACGTTGAGCCGTCTTCGCAGGTCACCGTGACACCCTTCTCGGTCGACTCGATGTCTGCGAGCTTCTTGCCGGTGAAGTAGCGCGCTCTTGCTGATTCGGGGAGGGTGTCGTAGAGGACCTGGATCAGGTGGGCGCGGTGGAACGTTGTGAGGCCTCCGCCGTGACTAGAAGCAGTAGTTATTAGCACAAGATCTCTACGCACTGAGGATGGGCAGTAGGTGGCTACTAACTTCTTGATCATGTAATCGCCAATCAAGTTTTGCTTAAACTTGTGGCCGTCGGAAGTGAATCCTGTGCCTGACGACAACATGTTGCCGATTTCCATGAGATTTTCGAGAATCCCAAGTTGATGGAACACACGCAAAGAGCCAGGGCTGAGGACCAAGCTGGCGCCAACATCGTCGACAATGCTATCTCTCCTCTCGAGAATGACAAAGTCGATGCCAGCACGCTGCAACACGTGTGCCGCCGTAATGCCGCTCGGCCCACCGCCGACGACGATGACTTTGAAGGGTTGATCAGTCATATTAACGTAAAGTGCCTTCAATAAGGATATGTCAAAAAGAGTTGTGTTTGTAAGCCTGTAATCTCTGAATACTCAGATTTGGGAAACCTCACTCGCATCATCGTTGGTATTTCAATACAGTTCCGATGTAAGTGGCTCGATACCGAATTACCGCTTTGGGACATTTTGATGGAGCAAGTTCCACCACTTGCGACGTCACCTATAATGTCGGTGTCGTCGCGAACTCCTTTTGCCCTTGACTCCGCAGCGATTCTGGACTCTTCTCATCTGTTGTAAATGTCCGCTAGGTTGTGGGTTTTTCCCGATTGACGCACATCAAAGGGACAAGTGCCATCAAGGCATCTGAGCGGGATTCGGGGTCCTAAGGGACCTTCATGACTGCGTTCACGAGAAGTTCCACGTCCAAGGATGACATCCGTCTCAATATGTTCAATCCGGGGTAACTAGTCATTCAGTTCGCATTTTGATAGGGGAAGTTGAAAGGATATACCCGGTCAAAGTTTCGGGAACATTTTTCAGATCGACGGAAGGCTCCACAGCCTTCGGTAAACCAAGTCCGCTTTGGGAAGTCTTTTCCACTGTTTGCCACCAGAACTTATCGATGGAGATTCTTGACAGTGCTTACGTCTACGGATGAACTTCGTCCAAAATTTGACAAGAGCTCGGTCTTTCGCCTGTAGTTTGAACATCGAGATTTCAGTTCGGATTGAAGCAACATGGCGAGCTTGGGACGCCGCGCACGTAATTCTTGGACGGCAACCTGGCTGAGTGAATTATGCTCCCTTGCAGTTCAATACAGCTCAGGCTATACAAAGCAATCCATTGACTACGTAGTAACGGAACTTCTATAGAGTCTGCATGTTTGGGTGGTATCGGTCTGAGGTTTGCAAACGAGAGTGGCTTGGGTGGCTGTGGACCTGGCAGGCTGGCACGCAATCCCCTCAAAGGGTTCTCATAAGTGCCGAGCCCGTCTCCGTGGCTTATTGCCACTAGGAGTACGAGAGACGCGGTATCGAGCTCGGTGGTCGGCACCGTGGCGGGCCCGATTAAGGAATCCGGCTTCTGTTGATGGAGGAAAGGTCATGCAGTCCGACGGGTTTCCGTCACCAGTGCAAAGATCCGTCTGCTCGTATTGTTTACGTTAATCACTCTTGCAAATCATACTCTGCTTGCTTACGCATCGTAAGCATTATTTGTGATCGTCGTTTCGATGGAGTTGAATCGAGTTCGAAATGAGGCCCAAGTGACAAGCTGGAGCATATGGCCCCATCGTCAACGAAGAGCCAACGAACCTGTCTTAGTCTGTGGGTAGAGTCTGTAAGTTGTGAGTCTCTGTAGCCCTGCCACTGGATTTTTCTAGAGTTTTCTAAAGTCCTTGGCACTTTCGACTTCCCATTTTCTCTTCAGAATAAGATTTGATAAGTCCGAAGTATTCGCTCTTACTTACTTTAAGAGTCTCTCCTTTCTCGATGCTTCCCTTCATTCTAGCTCTCACCACTACCCAAACAGTGTCCAGGCAGCTTCAGTGTCATCATCCGAGCCTCCAACATTCTTTCGCCGCGGCTTCAGAGCAGCAGCAAAATGGGACGCTTAAGCAGCGGCTGCTGGGCACTATTGGTCGGAGCCACCTCCGCCGTGAGGTTCGACATCGTGCCCGATGTCACAAGTATAGATAGTCTTGGGGTAAGATACATCCTTCTCATGTGTCAGAGACACATCGGACGCAAGAAAGATGATGTTTAGTGCTAAAAAGTAGTCCGTCTAGTCGAACTTGCCAACCCTCTACTCCTTCCAGGAGTCTCAACTAGCCTCTGAACAATCAAACTCCTACTGGGCCGCATCTTTCGTCACAGCTTCCAATGACCGCCAATACGCAATCATGTCTCAGCAGATGCCAACCGGTACCGGTCAAAGTATCTTCCAGTCATCCATCCTGGATCTCGAAGACACCAGCAACTACTGGCTCACAGCTGGACTCGCGCCGCTGCAGGGAAACCAGACGGTCAAGAAGGGCTTGCTCGACATCGAAGTCGACGGTTCTGCCTTCAAGAGCCTTTCCAATGACAGCTTCTCGTCATTGACCACGTGGGGTGAGTACGACACATATGCATTCAACCTCACCTTTGACGCCTCCTCGCCCGTCATACTTAACGGCGGTGTCGGTCGCTTCCGCTGGGGAACCGGGACCACGACACAATGGTCGCTGCCGAGCTGCAGGACCCAGGGCTCCTTCACCATCAACGGAACCACTCTCGAGATCGACCCAGCGCGATCCTTGACCTGGTACGACCGCCAGCACGGCGTCGGCGGCCCCAATAACTTCACCTGGTTCGGGCTCAACTTTCCTGGCGGCATCAGAGCCAGTGTCTGATACTCCGATACCGCAGAGCCGAGTCAGCAGCTGCGCTTCGCTACCATCCGTGCCGAGGATGGGCTTCATCTTGTTCGCTTCAACATGACTCCCGGAAACGCAACTACCTGGACATCTCCAGTCACAAACACGACGTACGCCCAGGACTGGAAGCTGTTGTTCGACAACAGGGATACCCTTGCCATCAAGAGCATTCGCCAGGATCAGGAGAAGGGTTCAGGCGCGGGTATGTTCTACAGCGGAGTCGTGGAGGCGGAGGGAAGTCTTTTTGGTCAGGAGAAGGGCTTTGGCTTTGTGGATATCGTTCCGAAACTTAGCTTGTAGCTGGTGGATCGGTAATGGGAGAGTTGGTTAGCCCTATGTGGTATGCGTAGTAACCGATCATAATGGACCGAATCTTAAGAAGATGAGGGAGCTTTTACCATGGATACTAGTACCACAATATCATCCGCCATCGTACAGAAACCAACTTGCGGATGCTGCAGAAGTTGGCCAGCTATGATGTTCATCGGACTGGGTAATATTTGAGTGGGTATTTTGGCGAGCCTCTATCATCGTTCTAGTTCTAATGATGAGACGGTGAAATTCAAGTCCTTCTCAGGTAAGAAGTCAAGCCAAGGTTCTAGTAAACTTAAGCGGCTCATCAGCACCAAAGAAACCATTTAGATATTGCCAACTTGGCATTCATTGAAAACAGTAAGCTTGGCAATCTTCGTCAAGATAGTTGCTCTCGCTCTAGATCTGGCTCGGAAATAAACCTTGGAAGCTGCGAAAGTTGGTGTTCTTCCGGAGACAAGATATGAAGTCAAAGAAGGCCTAGCTCCTGGCCTTAGGTTTACATCGACGACCGAGTCTAAGAAGCCCATCCGGATACGAAGCAAACATTTAAAGATGACCAGTCCCCGAAAGCATGTCGACTTTCTAAAGCTTCAGCCCTAAGAGTTGAGCCTCTCCACACGGTAGGTATTGTTTGAACAACGCCGACCTGTGAAGAGCTTCGGCATATCTCGCCAAGTAGACTACAGTACTTGTAGGCTCCTGATATATGCATGCTTCTGAGTGATAAAGCTACATGGAATCTCAGTCTCCCCGAGTTTCTAACTTGAGACAGCTATAACCGGTTCGTCCAATGCTGTTCATGTCTAACTTTGAAGTTGGGTATAGACAGCCGCCACTCGTAGTGAAGCCTAGTAAAAACTCCTGGAACTTAATTAAAGGTACGTGGCATATTATGCCTCTTTATGGCACACGACGACACTCCTGTACCTCTGAAAGGCCGATGGCTGACCTCAGTACTAAACTGACGGTTCGATCGCTTTGCAAGCATAGCTGCCGATGCCTCGTCATACTGGAAGCATCAAAAACATATAGCTGGATAGAGGAGCAGAAACCTCACGCTGTGAAAGGCCTAAGACAGACTGTTGCCCAGCATCTCGCGTCCGGGTTTACGGAAGGTGTTGGAAGCGCGGCAGGGCAACATATGGGACTCTGAAGGGGAGATCAATCCGAAACATGCGACCCGAGGGAACGATTCAAGATGCAACGGGATTCAAGCTCAATGAAGGCATAATATCAAATGCAAAGGACGCAACACTATGCCGCGTCACAAACAACTCTCCTTCCTAGTGGGGGCTAGTTTTCAGACAGAACGGTTGGTTGCCAGTAACCAACAGCCACGACGCGGCCATATTACCGACGTTGGAAAGCCTCTCACGGGACTCATATCCCCTTCCAACATGCAGCTTGTTCCCTATCTGCAGGTAAGGTCTCCACGCGACCGGATCCTTGTCGTGAAAGTGGCCTGTTGGTTGCAAATCTGCATAATTGTCTCCAGCCAAGGAGAGGGGTAACAAGACGGACATGTCACTTTCCAAAGTGATAAAACGTCGAAACTTGTCGAGATGAATTATTTCAACTAATTTGTAGTATTTCTCGCCATAATAATTAAAGTACCACTTTGCGCGAGCAATCCACCAGAAAAAGGGTATTCACAATGAGTGCCACGAACCAAGCCCCAGCCAGCGTGCCGACTGCCGAGCCCGCCGCTCAACCTCAGCCCGAGACTGAGACCGAACACGGCGTTGTGATTGCGGCTGAGGAGGTAATGCGACCGAAATCTGAGACTGGTCACGTTCTGATGGGGTTGTTCTTCTAGTTTACGGACGACAACTCTTCCGTCCACCAGGTGGGTAAATAATGCCATGTTCCTAGCCCCAGGTCGCCAGTTTGAGCGCGAGAGCTCACCAAGTGAAAAGAGTATTGCTTCTTCGACGACAAGTCTGAGCAGCTCCATTCTCGATTATAGAACCGAGAACGGAAGAACGTACCACAAGTACAAGGACGGCAGTGAGTCCATATCTCAGCCAGTGCTGATGGCATGATGTGTAATCTGACTAGCCTAGAATACTGGATTCCGAATGACGAGAGAGAAAACGAGCGACTTGGTGCGCATTCCTCAGCCTCTTTCTTTACGGACGTATGACACTGACAAGACCGCCCCGGCCAGATGTTCAACACAACTTGTTCGTGCGGACTTTCCGAGGTCGGCTGGGAAACGCTCCTCCCACCGATCCGGGAGCCAAGGTCGGACGGGTCCTAGACATTGGAACGGGCAGTGGTATCTGGGCCATTGACTTTGGCGAGGAGCACCCCGAAGACGAGGTAAGTACAACGTGGCATGAGACGGCTCATGGCGTTGACTTTGTGCTGATTCATTTGCGGCGTAGATTCTCGGTGTCGACCTTTCTGCCGCGCAGCCAGACTTGTGCGTTTGCCCCCATTCAAGCCGCGGTGAGTTGATGGAACGATGAATCACAGGCTGACTGCTGGAGAATAGTGTTCCGCTCAACGTCCGCTTCGAAATTGACGATGTTGAAGAACCTTGGATATTTTCGGACCGTTTCGATTACATCCATAGTCGAATGATGACATGGAGCATCTCTAACTGGAAGAAGCTCTTCAAGCAGTGTTATGAGTGAGTCATCCATATCATATCTTACGGAGGATCTTCACTGACGTAAACTTTTCCCAAACAGCAACTTGAATCCCGGGGGATATCTAGAGGCAAACGAGGGTAACATCATACCCCTCTCAGACGACGGCTCCCTCAAAGACGACTCAGCGCTCATGAAAAGCGTGCGCCTATGGGAATCGGCCGCCGTGATCTTTGGCCGCCCGTTCGAGGACACGAGACACCTCAAGGACTTTATGGAAGAGGTCGGCTTCGAGGACGTTCACATTCTCAAGTACAAGTGGCCCACAAACACTTGGCCCAAGGACCCTCACTACAAGGACCTCGGCGCGTGGAGTTACGAGCACGTGTCGCTCGCCTGGGAAGGCTTCCTGATGGCGCCTTTGACGCGGGCGCATAATTGGACGAGGGAAGAGGCCTTAGTGCATATCATGGAGGCTCGGAGGGACTTATCGGACAGAACCATACACGCTTACTTCAACGTGTGAGTGAAGCTCGACTCCCTTGCCTTGGAGGCTTTTGTGCTGACGTTTGATAGCTGGTCTATTTACGGAAGAAAGCCTCTCAAGGCTGATGAAGCAGAAAACTGAGCAAGAGTAGTCCGTTTATGCTGTCATCGGTCTCCAGATCTTCCACTGGAGGACAAATGTAAGGGCAATAACTGGCGATACCTCAGTCACTGGGCTCCTCTCGACGTGTGTAGATGAGAACGAGTTGGGCAACATCATTGGTTCGGGCAGTTGGCAATAGATAAGATGATACGGGTCGTGGCCTGTTATTCTCTATTTTTTTGAGCGTCAGTCCGCCAATGGCAGTCTTTGACTTGCCGCATCAACATCTTATTCTTGCCATGAAGAGACATCTCGTAGGGCCGTTCGACTGAGTGAAGTAGGCTTCATCACTGAGCCTCCTGTATCTCATCACCTAACACATGGCCCCCAGAAGTGAGAACGAGATCATCTGTCACCGTTCAAAGGTACTTGGGAAGCTACAGGTGTAACTGGTCTTGTAATGCATGGCATACCGATACTCATGACGCAAGGCCGATAGCTCTTCACAATGTGCTATGTCACCCATACAAGAATTTGGCTATGAGATTCTTCTCATGACATGATCAAAGGGACCAGAAAGAGAGAACTTTGAATTTCACATGTACGAATACGCGTGCCCGACGCCGCGAACGGAGGAAGATATTAGGTAGTTGCAGCTCAATATCTTGCGCAACAGCCACGGATCGTGATCCGGTTTCTGTCTACTATGAGTGGCCGGCTTCACCGCCCATTCAGCTCCAGGTCGAGGAGTCTACAATGAGAATGGCAACCATATGGGTGTAGCATTTGAATCCACGAGACTGGCTTACGTTCAAACCAAGGTCTCCAAACAATGAAGATATTGCACCGTTCCCAAGTACTACGCGACCGAATCTCTAAGCCTCTCTCTCGTTCGCAAAACCTTTGCAGCAAAAAAAAAAAAAAAAAAAAAAGAAAATCGCCTAAACATGAATACAGACTGAGCTATAGACAGAGCCATGTCTCCTCCAATCAGTGTACAAAATCAAACAAAAAGCAGCCAGCAAAAACCACAAAAAAGAAACGCTCAAGGCGAGGGCGGAATCTAACCGCCGAAGACTCCCCGAGGTGGGCTCGAACCACCAACCTCCAGATTAACAGTCTGACGCGCTAGCCAATTGTGCCATCGGGGATTTGAGCTTATTTTTCGCTGAGATCATTGGGCGATTTTGTCTTTATCAATGCAGTGAGTCTCGCTTACCTTAGCTAGGGTGGGCGCCGCCGCCGCGGCAGCGTAACCTCCTCGGAACCTATCCGAAAGCGAACCCGCAACACGACTGGGGGTAAGCTGGTGCCGGAAACAAGTGAGAAGAAAAAAAGAAAAAACAAAAAACGACCGGCGGCACGAGTCCGACTCGAGTCGACTTTTGTCCTTAGTTAGGTACCTTGGGTTTTTTAGAGTGCCCGCCATGCTGCCCTGAGGGGAGGGTAAGGTAGGTGGTGGTTTTTTTTTTTCTTCCCCACGCCAAGTAAGCCCCGACTTCTAAGAATAATACCCTACGTGCTACCTACAGGGTAGGTATTCCGTACCTACCCCATGCCCTGGGGAGAGAAGTACCCCCCCCCCCCAAAAAAAAGACAACGAACAAAGAAAACGCGAGAGTAAGAAGATTGATAGCAGAGAAAATGCAATTCATATTGCCTGCTCAACGTCGCACACGCAGATCTCAATTTCGACCAGGCTGTTTTTTCAGCCCTCTTTTATTCTTTCCTTTCTCTCTCTCTTTCTTAATGTGCTACCTACACTGCTACCTAATCCCGCCAAAGAAAAAGCCACCAAAAGCCTAGGGTGTCAACAGCAAGGCCGCAAGGCGGCGTCTAGCGGAGATGCCAAAATGACTGGCGCAGAAACAACCCGTGAACACACACACACACATCCTGTCGGGTCATCCATCGGCCATCCATGATCCCGCCCCCGGAGGAGGGGGCCTTTTGGGGCCTTGAGGCTCGCCGCATCGGCTCCCACCTCTAGGCTCCAGGGCCTTTTTCAACTTCATCCCTCGTCCCATCAAAACAAGGCGCGCCCACCAAACCGTTTGGTTTTCCTGGGTTCCCTCCTTTGCGTCCTTCGTGCCTTGCCAAGAAGCGGGAGAGCGGGCGCTGAGTAGGGACCAATAATCCTTCAAAACTGTCTGAGCTTCTTTCCATTTTCCCTCTGCCTTGACTCAACGTAGGTAGGCAGGAAGAGTAGCAGAGCAAGCTGCCTCTCTTTAGACTTTGACGCTTTCCCCCGTGCGATCAGCTCTGCCCCTAACGTCAAAGAAGTTCAGAATTACCGTAATACCCGGTACTTCCAAAATCGCCATCATGGTTCGATTTTTCCCATACCAAACGAGATGAGTGAGGTGATCGATGTGGTCTAGCTGGCATATCAGGTGTCTGCGGAACTCCGTCCGTCCACACACCAACCAGTGATTAGAGAGATACGCTTTCGAAAGCTTGTCAGCGCCTCGCGTTTAACTCGCTTCTCTTTGCCGTCTCATTTTACCGCCTCCCGCCACCCATCCGAAGGTGACCACTTGGCGAAGGCAGGGCTAATTTTATAGAGTTTGATGTCGATTCAGTTTCGGGAATGGGGGACCTATGGTGTACTGTAGCGTCGGTGAGTAAGTGAGTGGGCGAGCGTGTGAGTGTTGTGTGAGTGTGACGCCGCACCGCCGCTATGCGTCCTTTTTCACAGTGAGAGGCCATGTCTACGCTAATCATTCATCAGATTCAACGGTCTCCTTTTCATTGCCGTAAGTGCCGAAGTAGATGCCTAGATCCGCGGGAGGAAGAGGCCGCCGCCGAAACTGTCCTTCTCAGCTTGATCCGAAGTCTCGTCTCATCGAAAAAAGTCGGGGAAAAAGGGGGCGCTGTTTTGGCGTACGGTGCACCAGACGACCACCACCGTTCTCCTCCAGGTCCGTGATGCCCTCGACATCCGCGCCGCCAGGTTGATCACCGTTGCCGCCTCCCCTCTCCTGAGTCTACGGAAGTGGTGTAGGTAGGCACGGGATGCGCCGGTTTCGGGAATCGGGATCCAGGCCAAGCCTCGCACACACACCCACTCCATCAACTTTCAAATATTCCGAAAGTTTGACGTGTCTGGGTAATGCCAGCTCATCGCGGATACCAGATTCCCGGTTGCCTGGACTAGCTGCGAGTGTGGTGTTCGGTACCATACAAAACTGTCAAGTAAAACCAAAAAAGAAGAGGAGCCAAAAGTGCCTCAAAGCTTCCATGGAATGAACTCCGGATGAGTGAGCCTGACTCGCGGACAAAGTGTAAATGCGCCCCGCGTCTGGTTGACGACCGCAACGGCATCGCTGGATCTAGCCACCAGGTTAGCCACAAGTGGGACGATTTGGCGAGGGGCGGAACCAAAGAGATGACCTACTGTAGAGAAAGGCACGCCGCGCACACCCGTCTCAGAAAACAAAGTTTACATGTCCGATAGTCTGGCAGACTTTCAGACTTTCCAGAAACCTTGTGGCGCGTGTCAGTCGACGTGAGTGGTGCGGATGACAAGAGCAGGGCGTTAGTAACGCGCCACACCGTAGCCCAGCGTCAAACGTTTGGAGCAGCAAGCCTCAAAGGAATCCGTTAGTTGCGTGCTCTTGGTGCGCCAAACGTTCTTGATATGACGACCAAGTCATGCCATCCCGCAATGGCAACCTAGGCAATCCTCCTCCACCACCACCACCACCACCACCAGTGACCAACCAGCCAACCAGCTAACCCCCATTTCGAAAATAGATTGGTCACTTCTGAAGAGGGGGGCATTCCCGTGAGGCTACTAACAAGGTTGCCATCAACCCGGGCCAACTGTCCAAGGGGCATTTCCCGACGCTAGGAAGTGATGTCTGCATATCACTCTAATGCATCATCATCTGAAGTTGGTTCGCCGTCTCTCACACTGCACTCCTCCTCCTGAACGACAACGGGATCGAGTGAAAGAGACTTCCACGCCACTCCGGATTCTCACCGGGTGATCCGTATGCCTATCAAACACTAGCTTGCGGGTTGGAGAACGGCAGAAGCCCCGAGGTGGCAAACGGTTGGACCCTTGTGACGGAAGTTTAACTGCATCAAGCCCTTGATGAGGGTCTTGAGAGATTTTTTGGGCCAGGGCATAGGGCTTGACTATCATTGGGCACCTGTCCGAGAAGATGATTACTGGAAATCTTCGTGAAATGTTCTCGGAGGGACTAATTCGGCAGGACAGTCGCTAGACACCATCGACGGGGTTCCGCCATCTGCCAAGTCATACTCAAATGACATAGTCTTAATCAAACTGGTGATGGTACTCCTACACGTCGCAGCAAGTTGTGAAAAGCTGAGAAGAGATCGCGATCTCGTTGTTGATCAACGACATGTCACCGAAACACACGGCTTCCTATCCAGAGAGGGGAGGTGATGGGATGATCCGCACTCTATCGGAGACACAGGACTGCATCCCAAGGATCGGGGCATGAACGTCTCACACTTTACTTCATTTACTGCCGGAAAGCGGAAACCCACGCAGCGCAACTATGGCGAGCGATGATCTCGCCAATCTCGGGCTTGGGGCATGCAGAAGTTGCAGTTGTGGATGCTAGCGTGTAGAGTTGGTACACCGCAAGGTGGTAGACTAACGGAGCGGTGGACTTCTTGCGCCCAGGAGCTGCGCATGTACTGGTATTGGGCCGGCCGTGCTGTGGCTTTCGCAGCACAGCAGAGGCCGTACAACGTTGCTTGATGATCTATAGTCTTGGGTGCAAAAAGCCGTCCAGAGATCGGGTGAGGCGTCCCGGCCGGGACGCAGTGACCAAAGGGAAGGAGGTAAGTTAGAAAAGGGGGGCTCCGGTGAGGGGGAGATTGACGGATGGCGGATGTTGTGACAAATGCTTGAGGTGCAGTAGATGGTTATGTCGTTCGACAAAACATCAGGAACTTTTCCCCTTGCGCGCGTCGAAGATCATGGAACCTATTACAAGGGCACCCCCCCTGAAGCCAGGGACGGAGCGAACTTGACAACCATCGGGCCCAGCAGCCAACAG